GGCCTCTCCAAACCACAATATGCCCTGCTCAGGGGAGCTCCAGTCACTGGTATGTCCTGCCCAGCGGGGCTCCAGTCACCAGTATACCCTGTGTAGCACCGCCTGACCCCCAAAGGCATGTGAGGTATGCCAGGAGCGGGGAGGGGTAACATTTCACTCTTAGGGGTGGATCCTTAGCCGGGTTGTGGGATGTAATCAGTGAATTGGGTGGCAGTCACTTTAAGTATTTTTAGATGCTTTATTGTAGAACGGCCAAACCAGGGAGAGAGGGTATAGGGTAGGGCTACAGACATCCGGGGCAAACATAAACTCCAGACTCGCCAATCCATTCCAACTTCCACAGTGCAGAAATGCTTTGGTTGAGCAGAAGATGACACTGGATAACAGAACCACAGCTGGATAGAGGGTGCACTTGAGATCTTTCCTGGGAGAGGCACCAGTCCTGTTCCTGAATCCATGCCATCCTGGCCTTTCTAGCACCTCCAGCAGTCAAAGTGTTCCGCTGGTTCTCCTTCCCAGGTAGTTCCAGACCCTTCCAGGGTCCACATCTGGCCTCTTCCAGACTAGAGGCCTTGTCAGCTTCTCCCACCTTGTACATCCCACCCCCAGCACATGGCAATTCCTGAGTATTTATGCACTTCCCCAGCCTGCATCACTGGCCATAAAACTCCTAGTGATTTGCTGGTGAGGCATAGACACTCCTAATTTTCCCCTATTTGCTGCCCCACTTTGTGGCAGGGTCACACCACTCTACAGGTAGGTGCAAACAATAGCAGAGCACAGGAATAACCAAATGATCACCCACTATAAATCAGCCAGACTGATTAAAAAGCCAGCAACACTAGATTTAAAGAGCCACTCCACTTAGGGTAGTAGGGGCTACACCTGTCCATGTCCTGTCAAATGAACAGTATGCAAAGCAGGGATCCCCTTTAACAACTGGTATACAGTGCAGTTGCCCTTGCAGCGGATTACTATATAATGTAATGTGCTATTCTTTTGTGCCTTTGCTTCTAAACCACACATCTGCTTGATTGTGTCAGGCCAGACTGTTCAGGTGCCAAGTGAAGCTATTCATTTTGCAGAATGGTTTCATAGGCTCTGACAGAAGCGCATGCTGTGGGATTTGTCTTGTGCACTTGCATTATGCTAAGTATTGTCTAGAGCCAAACTTGGTGCTCCCAAGCATAGGTGTGTGTGGTAGAATCTGATAAAGCCCTAATAATCACTGTGCTCAATGCACAAATAAAATAATCAGATTAATCTTCAGCATAAAGTAGCAGCACAATATAATACATTAGTTTGGGGGGAAAAAATCTCTGAATATAGACTTTGGATGCACAGTTGATCTAATTTGCCTTTAAACCTACTTTTATGAAATATCCAATCTTTTGGACCTAATATCTCTGTAGAAAATGTACTGATTAAGGGAAGCAAAAGGAATGCTGTCAGGGGAGATCGCTAGGGCGACTTGGTCAGATGGCTTTAGGGTATGATCATTCAGTACATAAGTGATTTAATTTTGGTATAGGAACCAGGTCATTTCTACTTCTTCTAGACTTCATGTATATTTCTTTGAGCAGTGATTTGTCCCAAATACAAGTGGAAGCCCAGAGATGTGACCCATTTTCCGAGTTTATACGTATAGGCATCATTATGTATGGCACTGCTTGCAGTTTGCTTTAAACAGCTTCATGGTCATATTTCTGCATTTTCGTCTCGCTCATTAATGTGCCTGCAGCTGTGTTAGTGCAGAGTGTACCTATCCATGCATGGGATTCAGCAATTTTTCAATAGTGTGACCTCTGTCATAATGTTAGATGGCAACACATCTCTAACTTCTGCACTGATCCTTAACTTTCTTTTGTAGCTCGACCATTAAGGTCTAACTTTGAGGTCCCGTTTAGATTTATGCATGTTGTTTTTTTTGTTAGCGTTGAGCTGGTGTGTTGCCATGTATCAACGTGCAATTCCTTTGAGCAATGACATGTGGTGTTGATGCCTGTTTCCAATGCGTTTTTTGGATTTCCGATTTTAGGCGGGATAGAATTAACAGCCATTGACCAAGGCTTGGTAATAACTGTTGCCAACTAGTGATGCACTGATACCGATACCTGGGCATTTTCAAGCATGATTTCAATGTAAAATGCCCTGATACTAAGCGCTGGTGCTTTCACTTTAAATTTTTAAACTGAAGACAGTGCTGTAACCAGGCGCTGGGGTTCATAGGACCTGTGAACCACAGCACCTGTGTACAGCACCGGCGGCACAGCTCCTCCTTCCTGAAACCATGCCGCCCATGAGATCAACTGGACCCTTAGTGCGACCCCGCACAGCCCTGGTGAGACCCCACACAGCCCCCCTGAGATCCTCCACTAGAGACATCAGGCCTGCACCCCGGAGCAGCACAGCGTATGTGGTTTCATATTATTCAGCTTTGCTGTATAATCTATTGCTGGGATTTGTAGTCTTCTGTAGCTGGTGGTATTTTGCATTGCTGTATAATGTATTACTGAGATTTGTAGTCTCTCTACAGCTTGAAGTCAGCGGCAGAACTACCAGGGGCAGCATTTGCAGCTGTGACTGGGCCCTGAAACATTAGCACTGTTTTAAATCCATTAGTCTGTATTGTTTTAGAAAAACTGTCAAATGTCATTAGAAGAAAAAAAAAAAAAAAAGTATCGGTAATTTGGTACCGGTGGAAACGTGAGGAAAAGTATCAATACTTGTACTCGATCTGGAAAAAATGCATCCCTATTGTCAACACATCAAAACACATTACATGCCTTGTAAGTGAATTGCCGTTGCCTTCTATGTGCCTCCAAATGCACTAAAATGCAGGAAAAAAAACCCCAGACATGTCAGTTATCAAAATGCACTGCAGCACAGAGATGGAAACATACACAATTTTTTTTTTTTAACATTGATATGGTAATTAATATTGTTTGTGTATAACTAGGACACATGCATTGTAACATGTACATTGAAATGCAACAGTATAAATGGGCCTTAAAGGAGTACTATGAGGTGAGTGCTTTTCACTCATCCTCATAGTTCTAGCCGACCTGTGACAATGAAACTGTCACAAGTCGGCTCAGTAGATCGGGAAGTGAGCGAACACATACCGGCGTTCGCTCACTTTTCGATCCTGTCATTGAAGAGAGACGTAACAGGGGAGGGACTGGATTCCATCCTCCCTGCTCCGATCCTCCAGCGCTGACTGGCGTAACGGACGGGGGAGGGGGCGGGTACAGCTGGCTCTGCCTTTTAGATAGGCAGATGCAGTTGTCACTCACGCAGCTGGGCGGATCCAGACATAATTGTCGGGATCCGTTTCAGCTGCAGCATCTCAGTATACCGCGAGCTGTAGCTCGTGGTATACTGAGCTTAGGGTGACGGGAGAACGCTAGTTTGTGTCCTCCCGTTACCCTTAGGAGAACTATGGGGAAAAGCCCTAACCCCATAGTTCTACTTTAAGCATTAATACTGGAAAGGGGGTAAGAAAGGGTTGGCACAAGTACGTTGTTAATGAGTGACAGCTAGGAAGGGGAGCAGTCCAAAATTTGCAGAGGGGGGCCATCCCTGTGTAGTTACACCCACTGGTTTTCAAGTGGAAATCCCCTTTTAATAATCCTGTCTAAAAAATTCCTGTGCTTTATTCTATTTGCACACTATATTGCATATTACAGAACTCATTCATTGGTAAGGAATTCTCCTACATCATTTTAACTTATAAGAATGCCCCTCACTTACAGTGAGTATGTCATGAAATAGTTAATTTTTACTCTTCTATTTAAGTTCAACTTTAAGGTATTGAGAGCAATCAATGTCAGCTCTTCATATTCTCTTCAATTACCGGTTTTATTATAATATGCCAAAAGCTTACAAGATGGTTTCCTGAAGTGTCAAGTTTAATTCTAGATAATGCGCCTCAATGTAGATTAGTCACTACTGTCCTCATGGAATATAATTGGGGTGTTTTTTAGTCTATGGTTGTGTTCAGTGATTAACTAATACTTAACCAGAGATTAAACAACCGATATCATAAAAAAAAATATTGTACACTGTTCACCACATCTGGTTTATGCATATGATGTTGACATTCAGTATATGGATTCCTTTTTCACTTCCAGTGATTTTATTTATATTTTTCTCTTTTTAGAAAAAGTGGCAATACAGTCTAACATACAAACTTTCCATTTAAAAGGTATCGAACTTCCCAAACGAAAAAGTAAAATATTGCAGCTTTCTGGTCCTTGGATGAGGTGGCTGCATTAGTTTTCTTTGTTTTTCAG